TTTAAAGAACCAGGTCTTTGATTCATTAATTTTTTGTACTGTTTTCTTAGTCTCTATTGCATTGATTTCTGCTCTGACCTTTGTAATTTCCTCCTTTCTTTTGGCTTTGGGCTTGACTTCTTTTTTTTTTTTTTTTCTAGATGTGTGAGGTGTAGCACCAGGTTATTTGTGTTTGTTGTGTTTTCCTGAAATGGAAGTTCACCGTAATAAAATTTCCTCTGAGGACTGTTTTCATGGTGCCCCACAGGTTCCAGTAAGATGTATTTGTATTTTTGTTTGCCTGAAATATTGTTTAATTTCCATGTGTTTGTGGGTTTTTGCAGTTTCTGTTGTCATTAATTTCTAGTATCATGGCACTATGATCCAACAACATACATGGGATAATTTCAATTCTTTTGCATTTATTTAAGCATGTTCGGTGGGCTAGCGTATGTTCAATTTTAAAGAACATTCCGTGTGCTGCTGAGAATGTATATTCTGATGTTATTGGGTGGGACACTGTATATGTCTACCAAGTGCATTTGTTTACAGGTGTGATTCAGTTCTATTATTTCTTTGCTGATTTTCTGTCTGGTTGATCTGTCCCTTTGTGTCAAGGGCATGCTAAGATCTTCTGTTATAATTGTTATTGCTTGATTTTTTATTTTTGTTAATATTTGTTTTGTATAGTTGAGTGCTCCTGAATTTGGTGCATATGTATTTAAGATTTTTATCTCTTCCTCTTGAAGTTTCTCCTAACTAGTATGTAGTGACCTTTATCTCTTTGGTGTATTCGTGAAGTTCACATTGTCTGCAAACAGGATAGGTATCCCTGCTTTTTGGTGGGATCCTGTTGCATGGAGTATTGTTTTCTATCCTTTTTCTGTCTGTGAGTTCCTTTTGGGTTAGATGGGTTTCCCATATACAGCATATGATTAGATGTTGTTTCTTGATTCACTCTGGTAGTTTATTTAATTGGTGAATTGAGGCCATTTACATGAATGGTTATAACTGGTATTTATTGATTTACTTTTGACATGTTATCTTTCTGCTATTCATTCTTTACCTTGCCACTCTGTTTGCCTTGCTTACTGTTTTTTTTTTTCCTATGCCTATCTAGAATATTATTCAGTATTCTTTGTAGGGTTGGTTTGGTGGTCATTAAGTTTTTCAGCTGTTCTTTGTTGTAGAGGTATCTTATCTCTCCATCCATTTTGAAGGACAGTTTTTCAGGGTACATCAGTTTGGGTTGGAAGTCATTTTCCTTTAGAATCTGAAATACTTCTCTCCATGCTCTTCTTGACTTGTTTGTGTTGAGAAGTCTGCTGTGATTTTGACAGATTTTCCTTTATAGGTGATCTTTCTCTCTAGAACCTTTTAATATTCTTATGTTGGCCTTCTGGGATGTTGATTGATTATTACATGTCTGGGTGTAGTTTTCTTTTGGTTATGGTTATCTGGAGTTCTATATTCATGTTTAAGAAATCTTCAGCTATTACTTCTGTAAACAGCCTCTTGATATCATTTGTGTTGTCACATTCTTTTTCATTTATACCTATCAATCCACGCCCAGTGAACTCCAAGCAACTAGCAGCGGCCTCAATTCAGTCCCAGGAACCAAACGTGTATAAGCTGAATCCCAGTGCACAGTGAAGCTTTGGAATATTGCTCCCAGCAGATAAGACCATGCCCAGAACCCCAAGTCACTGGAGGAAGCATTGGAAGTCTTCACAGGCCTAACTGGGCCATGCCCAGTGAATTCCAAGCAGATAGCAGGGGCCTGAATTCAGTCCCAGGAGCCATAAGTGTGGGAGTTGAATACCAGTGCAAGGGGAGGCTTTGGAACATTGCTCCCAGGCGGTAAGACCACACCCAGTTTCCTAAATCACCACACGATGTATGGGAGGTCCCTGCAGGCCTAACTGGCCATGCCCAGCCAACTCTAAGTGGCTAACAGAGGCCTATAACCTGGATAGACAGGAAAATGGCAAAATAAAAGAGCAAAATGCAATCTCAAACTTCTAGCCCAACCCAAGCAAGCCTAGGAGACATGGACACAGATGAAAATGTAAGCCATACACCTGAAATTGCTGAAATGATAACAACTGAAATAAAGAAACAACTCCAGGAAGCTATAAAAGAACTCAGATCAGAAATAATCTCCCAGGTAAAAGAAGAAATAATAAATGTAATGAAAGAAATGCTGAACAAACCTAAAGACATAGTAAAAAGCTAGAGGAACAATGCAAAAAGATGGAAACCCTGAATGAACAATATAAGAAACAAACAGAATGCATGAAGCAGATTCAAAGAGATATACAGGAACTCAAAAAGCCCATCAAAGTTGGCAAAACCATTTAAATGAAAGTGAACATAGAGTTTGAGACCTTGAAGACAAGATTGCAGCTAGTGAACAGGGAAGATGTTTTCAAAATAACAAGGAATCAGGAAATAATAATTCAACAGCTGCAAGATGATGCCAAGAAAAACAACATAAACTGTATTTCTTATGAACCGGTTGGGTCTTTTTTTTTTTTTTTTTTTTTTCAATTCTTTGACTTTCCACCTACCTTAAATATTGGGGATTAAATCCGGACCCTTCACGCTTATACAGCCCCACAGCCTACTTTATTATTTTTTTATTAGCAGGCTCTTGTTAAGGGGTAAATTGCCTTAGGCTGGGCTTGAACTTGTGATCCTCCTGCTGAAGCCTCACATAGTGCTGGGAGTACAGGTGTGCCACCACATCTGGTGGACAATTTCTGTAATTGATTCATGGCATTCACTGATTACTGACAGTAGTATTAATATCTGCACTTACTACTGTTGCCCTTGTTCATTCCTTTTTAAAAAGTCTTGTATTCTTTCTCATTTTTGTAGTTTGAGAATTCGGTATGGTTCCATTTTGTCTTTCTTAGCATATCAATTACATGCAATTATTTTTTAAGTAACTGCTCTTGCGTTTGCAATGTACATACACAACCATTCCAAGTCCAATGTCAACACTATACTTCATGAGTACCGCCATTCATCTTTTTCATCTCTTGTATCATTGCTGTCATTCAATTCACTTAACTGTTTATCTGCAAGCATGCATAAATACCTACATGCATAACTAAATATATCATTGCAGCTAATATTTTTGAGAAAACTTGTTAACTCGAATATTAACCCCAATAAACACTTTTACTGCCTTCATTTATTCTCTTACGGTCTTCATGTAAAACCTTCTGACCTATGTCATTTTCCATCTCCCAGTGAACTTGAAAACTTGCAAAGTAGATCTACTGGCAAAAAAAAAATTTCTGAAGTTTTGTCTAAGGAAGTATTTATTTTAAAAAGGTAATAGTGCAAGATTGGAGAGGATACCTCCTCAACACTAACACTTCAATGCCTAGTTTTTCATTATTGGAATGCCTATAACAATGGAATATGATAAGAGTATTTTCTCTTCAAATTCTTGTTCCTTGAATTTTGCTAGATAACATAAATGAATTTCATTATGCTTTTAAGGTTTTGGAGAAGTTAGATGTATTTTTTACCTTTGCTCCTCTCGGGATTCTTAAAAGATTTTGTTTTTTAATCAGTTTTCCTGTAATTTAAATAGCCCTAGTTGTATATTACTGTTTGTTGGTTTGGCATTTATCTTGTGTGGTATTCTTTGACCTGCCTACAACTCTGATTTGGTATTTAACATTAATTAGAAGAAATTCTCAGTTTGAAATACTGCTTCTGTTCCTAATACTTGTTTCTGGTATCTTATTTTATGTACATTAAATTTTAGATGTTTCCATTTTTGGATACCCTGAATATTTTTTTCCTCTTTTCAATTTTTTTTTCAACTTCAGAAATTGCCATTGTCAAGCTGGGTCTGGTGATGCTTGCCTCTAATCCCAGTACTCTGGTGGGAGAGGCAAGAGAATTGCTGTTTGTGGCTACCCTGGGGCAGAGTGAGTTCAGGACTAGCCTATACTATGCAGCAAGATCCCGTTGTAAAGGAGAGAAAAAAAAAAAAAAAAACCACAAACAAACAAATGCACTATGTCACAGCCTCAAGTTCAGAAATTATTTCCTTAGCTACATCCAGTCTAAAAAGCATTCTCTTTCATTAGTGTTTCTGAACTCTATTACTTAATCTTAAAATTTGTCTAGATTATCTAAAAGTTCTTCAATGTTGTCTTATTTTCTGTTAATCTTCTTAGCATATTATGATTTTTAGAAAATCCTGGTTTGATGATTCCAACATCATGGCCATGTGTGATTATGATGCTTGTTAGGTCTTTTCAAATTGCTTTTTAAGGCCTGACAGTATGTCTTGTAATTTTGGGGGCAGTATAGAAAGGTAGGCATAATGTACTGGGTAAAAAGAACTGTGATAAGTAGGACAGAAAGCATTACTTAGTCTTATGATTAGGTCATAATCTCTGCAGAGTCTGTGCTGTTGACTAGTTGACTACGTTAATGCTTCTCAGTCTTCCTGTTAGGTAATAAGCAAAAGGTTACTTGTGTTTTGTATTTCCCTTCTCTGTGGTAAATTAGGCTCCTGTAATTATACTTATGAGGATACTCCTTATTAAAGACAGAAGGACCTGATGTGTTTGAACACGGATTTTCTTCCCTTTCCACTTACACAAAGATAATGTGATTTTTTTCCCCCTTCAATATTTACTATGAGGACTTAGTTTAACTCCTTGAAGCAGTAAGAGTGCATAAATTATTTTGTAATAAACTTACAAAAATATGCACCCTGACTCTTTCCCCTCCATGACTAGATCCTCTTGGAGTTTTTAGTTCTCCAATGTGTCCACACTAAGTAAGCCTCCCAACAATTTGTGAATTGGAGTTCAATTTTCTTAGCCCAACAATGCTTCCTATAGAGGTTTCTGCTTCTTTCTTTTCTGTTAAGTTATGATTCTTAGCATTCACCTGCATTTCCTATTTTTGAAGGAGCATTTAGCCCAGTGATACTTTTCTGAGAGCCAACCTGTTTGTTGTTAATGCCACATTTTCTTTATTCCAAGGTGAAGGAGGCACCTCATCAGGCTGAGATGGTGTTCACAGCACGCTGCCCAGCAACTGTGACCATCCAGGCAAGTGCAGACTCCTGGCGGGAGCAGAAGGAGAAACGAGCAGCCATGATGGTGGGGATTCTGATTGGAGTGTTTGTGCTATGCTGGATCCCCTTTTTCGTGACTGAGCTTATTAGCCCTCTCTGTGCCTGCAGCCTACCCCCAATCTGGAAAAGCGTATTCCTATGGCTTGGCTACTCCAATTCTTTCTTTAACCCCCTCATTTACACAGCTTTTAACAAGAACTATAACAATGCCTTCAAAGGCCTGTTTACCAGGCAGAGATAAAAGGGGCTGAAGACATATGGGCAGAGTTATGAGAAGGAAATGAATTTCGATCTATCAACTTCAGTGGTCTGGGCACTTTCCCTCATAGTTAAGTGCTAATGATGTTTTGAAAGTCATGTTGTTAGGCATGGACTATGGAAGCAACTATGCCATATACTTACTGTCTCATGAAGGCTAGCAAAGGTATGGCAAACCTAACTAAGCCCTCTTCCCATATAGTTATAGCATGCACTGCCAATAGATCATCACACGTCTTCCCACTAAGAAACTCCACCTTAGAATCTTTTTATGACAACATCTGAGGTAGTTACTGCTAATGTTAGCACTGACTGACACATGGGTCAAAACTGACTTCCTTTCCTTGGCAAAGATATCTCAAACCACTCAAGACACTCTCTTCTTAGCTACTATACATCCCCCAAAAGGCAAAATAATATCTCCATTCACAAATGTTTCCCTTTGCAAACAATTTGGTCCACAAACAAAAGCATCCAGTAAAAATTTGCTTCTATAAGCAAACTCCACATCAGGTCACAAACATGGTCATAACATCTTCCCCACAGTTGTAATACAAACCACATTACCAAGGTATATCTCAATTTGCAGGAAGATAAGGACCATTTTGTTAACAACCCTCAGTCTATCTCTAGCCTATTGAATTAGACTCTAAAAGAATTAGTCTGGTGATCTGTGTATTACAGTCTATGAGGATGATTTTTTAACCAGTGAGAGATGCTGTTCTTTGAACAGTATAAGTTAGCATTCCTGGTGGATGACTCGGGTAGCACTTCTAAAAGCTTACCACAATTCCAATGTTTAGCCAGAGTTGAGAAATCCTGCTTAGGCCTTTGCAATGTTTATTCATGACTTGGGAGACCAGACATGAGAACTTTTCCCATTACTTCACTATACTCACTTGTATGTATAATAAAAAATACTTTTAAGGCATCCTTGTGAAGGTTCTAAGTCATTTTTATTTAAACCACGCACATCCAATTGGGGAAAACGATGCCTGTTGTAGGACCCAAAAGCATTTCCAACAAAACCTATAGGTTGTATTAATAATCTTCGCTGAAAGACACTAGAAGTAATCTTTAGCTCTGTTCTCAATAATTATGTTCAATAACAAAATCGCAGTGGCATTTAGAAACAAGTCTGAATTTCTTGCAGATATGCCTATGGACTGACTGAGGTTTCAGTGACCTTAGCTGGACTCTTCTGGGCTTGGTTTCAAACTGCAGGTTAGGTCTAAGTCCACTTCATGTGTCTGTCATACTCCTTGGGCCAACAGGGAATGTTTTACTCAAGAGAGAAGAGCAAGCCATACAGACACATTTTCAAAACTCATGTCTAAGCTAGGTATGGTGGAACATGTCTGTAATCCCAGCTACTTCGGAAGCTGAGCAGAAGACTGCAAGTTCAACAGTACCCTAAAAACTCAGTGAGGATCCTCTGACCTCCGAAAAAAGTGTGTTGGGGGTGGGGGGATCAGTTAACTCACAAGCCAAGCAAAAACTCAAAATAAAGGGCTTGGGAAAAAACACTGCACTGCCATAACAAAGGTACTTGGTATGATGAATGGCAAACAATAATTGAATGTTCACCATTTTAAAAGAACAGAGAAAACAGTGTAAAACAGGAAGGATAAATCTTGTCTTAACCTTTTCATCTGGCTTACTACAGTGTTCTTAAATGGGCTCCATATAGTCTATAGTCAACATAGTCTCTAGAGGGAACTCAGTAAAATGAAGTCAAATCACATTATTTTTCCTTTCAAACTTTCCATTGCCTTGCTACACAGGTCTGCTTAATGTTCCCCAAACAGACCTGGGTATAATTCAGGACTGTTACACTTGCTATTTCCTCTGCCTTGTATTTACTAGGTCTCTATGGGACTTACTCCCTCAACTAGTCAGTGACTGAGGCCTTCTCTAGCATCTCAATATAAAATTGCAATTACGGTGGCACCTCAGTTTCCAAACTTAACTCTTTCCACAAATCTGATCGCAAACCAAATTGGATGAGAACTGAATCAAATTCAGTGGTCAGGTTCAACTGTTAACCTTATAGGGAAATTTGATTTGACTGACAAGAAACTCAAATACCTCTCGGTTGAATGTGCCCACTAACAGAATGTTCTCACAGAGCAAGAACACAAGGCAAGTGGTCCCCTGGTTGATTCAGAAGCTCATGATGCCTTCATAGAAACAGGCTCTTTCCATCTTTTACTCTTCCATGTTGTCTTGTCAGGATGTTTCTTCTCATCGCCTCAGGATGAAGTTGCTTATACTTTGTCATTTTTTTCAACAACGTGAACAAACTGGAAGGACAGGCAGAGAACCTCTGCTGATGTACAATGTGCTGATCACCAGCAAGACTTTCCTGGAAAGCTATAACTGGATTAGATACCCATCTGAAAACCAACTCCTGGCAAGCAGAAATGGGATTCCTATCACTGTTTTTGAATAGTTGTTGTGATTCCTTTTCTCGGGCTGGATAAAACTGGAGTTCTGCTAGTCAGGAAAGAGGAATAGGAAGGACCACAGATTTAGTCTGCTCCCAAGGCACAGCCACTTTACAGTCCATTCCTCTGTCCTCATTTCTTTCCCTACTACCAAAATACACACAATGGACAGAGCCAGCCACTTGGTATTTCACTTCCTCCAGTATGCTTCCCCAGGAGAGGACAGTTCCTTCTGTACTGGCCCACTGCCCCTAAGACCAAAGCAAATGAATGTAACTGCTTTAACTCCAGGACTTTTATCTTTTTCTTTTTAGTTGGCTTTTTTTTTTTTTTTTTTTTTGGGTGCTGGGAATCGAACTCATGACCTCACGCTTGCCAGGCAGGCACTTAAGCCACTGAGCTAAAACCCCAGCCCCCAAGGGCTTTATCTTTCTAAGCAAAGCACATTTAAGGAGCCAGAATCATCTTTTTTTTTTTTTTTTTTGAAAACTAAATAAAAATTTCCAAAACATTTATTTTTGAATAACATATGTACATGGTACAAAATTCAAAAGGTACAAAAGGTATAGAGTGAAGTTATTTCTACTCTTTGCAGAGGCAACCAAAGCTACCAGGTTGATGCATAACCTCCCAGAGACATTCAAAGCATATACAAGCAGACATCTACCATAAACATATATGTATGTATATGTACATACACATATACACACACATTTTCCTCCATCCCAAACACTACTTCACAATCACGCATAGTAGTACACACGGATTAGCTCCATTCTTTTAGTAAACAAAATACTTTCATTAGAGGAACTATCCATGATTTATTTCACTATTGCCCTATATTGGTGGTAGTTTCCAACATTTTGCTATTACAAACAATGCTCTAACAAAAATCCTTGCACACAGGAAAAATTCTTAAAAGTAGCATTGCTACTTCAAAAGACTGTGTGTGCACTTGGGAACTATGTTGTCTAAGAGTCCTGCAAGGAGCTATATAATCCATACTTCTGCCAAGGTCATATTCCAGTGTTGCTCACCACACCCTTGTACTAGCATTTCACTTGTTGGTTCCATGAGGCTGAGGCATTTTCTACCAGGCAAATTAACTTTAGATTCGTGAAATATTTGAAACCAAGACATACTCATGATCTTATTTGACATTAGCATGCACCATTCCTCTTTTTTCCTCTTACCTTGGGAGAAAAAACACTTTCAAAAGGCTTAGAAACTCTTAACACCTTTTTTCATCCTGACCTTTAAGACTAAATAATAATAAACATACTCTGAGAGAGTTCCTAGGCAGATGAATAGAAATGTCAGCCTGTTTCAAACTACGCATAAAATTATAGGAAATGTTCCTAATAGAAGAATGCAAACCTGCAATTTATGCAATCAACATTTCCTGATGATCTGCCTGAGCCAGATGTTGGGCAGAACATGGAAAAACAGGCAAGGTCCTTGCTTTTTGTTTTTGCCTTTACATTCCAAGAAGAAAAGGCAGGTAACAGACCTGGCAAAAGCCTAACAGATTTATGGAAAGTGGCATATGCTATAAAGACAGAGAGCAGTGGGCACAGCAAGATTAGGGTGAGAGGCCACTAGCACATTGGTCTAGATGTGTACTAAGAAACTAGGGAAAGCCACTGCCCAAGGTCTTGGAGGAAAAAGAGCTCCAGGCAGAAGGAACTGAAGGCCAATGGCCACAAAGGCCTGAACTTGGCCCGCAGTGGAACTGACATAGGCTGATGTGGGAAAAATCAGAATTTTCCATGTTTTCAGATATGTTACAGACCAGCTATGAAATCCTTATTAATAATGTTTCACAATATATTCATTATGAGGAGAGGGAAACATTTCTTTTTACATAGTATTTCAGCCTAATGCCATGTGCTATATAAAGGTCTGTGCTGAACTGAGTGTAGAAGAACGAGAGAGAGCATGGAGGATTCTACAGGTGGATAAAACAAGGTATTTCCCCTGGCAATGCTCCTCCATAGGGATAGACAATGGCACCCACCCTACTGCGCTGTTCACTGTACATTCTACATTATGTTCTTTTACTCTGTAGTCAACACTGGGCATGAATAAGTATAAAGAACTTCCTTAATGTGGTTTTCCTCAAATGATGTTTCAACCCAGAAATTTGCACTTCACAAGAGACTTGGGCTCAGCCAAAGCAACCAACAAAAGTCATTGCTAGAAGAATGCCTATTTCTCTCAACTGATCATTAGTCACCCAAAAGGAAGATAAAACAAGACCATGCTGAGCAGCAGAAATCCAGATGTCACAGGTTGTAGGCCACAGCTGACCGTTTCAAGTGCTGTTTCAGGCAGGTTGGCTTTAGTCACTACACATGTGTTCAGGACCTGCCAATATGACACCAGAAAAGTCACTGGAGTAGCATCTTGTAAGAGAGTAAAGTGTTGTCTGATGGCCTTCCCTGTCCTCTACTCAGCATTTTGGGAAGTCACAGGGGTTGTGGTGTTATACTAGGGACTATTTCTTCATCCTTGGGAGAGAAAAACCTCCAATTTTTACTGATTTTCCTGCCCTCTAATTCTACTGCCAGGCTCGGTAGACATGGCCACAGGGCCTGCCTAATCTCAAAACATGGGCTGTGAACCATAATCCAGTTAAATCCATGAATGTCAGATTCCAACAAAAGTTTATGCTTGACAAACTTGGAATTTATCCTCTATTACAAGACAGCATACTTTCTTATATCCTCTGTTATAAGAAAGCATAACTCTTTTTTTCTAATACAAGGTACATACACCTTCCTCTAGTGCTGCTTGCTGTCCTGTCATCTACAAGGATGGGACAGAGGTCAATGACAGGTACCAAACATCCAAGGTATCTCCAGACATGCTGCTTTCTGGATTGTATCAGCGAACCCTGTGTACTCCATGACATGCACATGAGGATATACAGGGCACCATTAGCAGGCTCAGTGCTCCGACTGGGAACTACCTGCTTTCTCCTGAAGCACACATTCATAAACAATAACTTAAGGGTGTTTTCTCTCTTCATAATACTTCTGGAAAAGCCTTTGAACTCAGCAAATATGTGTTATCTCTGGCCTCAGAGAAGGATATGGCCGTGGGGGAAACCCTGCACCAACCATGAGTGGCTCCTGAAATGACCATGGACCTCAGTGCACTGTTTCAGCCTGTAACACCTGACTGTACTGCCTGGCTAATGTCTTACTCACAAAAGTGTCCACATTGCAGGCTACTGCAGCAATTGTGGACTTCACAAGAAAGACAAATGTAGTCTAATTCAAAGTATGTTCAAGCAATGAAGACTAATTTATCATCTATATTAAGTCTTGTAGACCAAAAAAAGGGCAAAAACATCTATTAATACTTTACACCAAAAGAAAGGGCTGTGCTTTTAAAAAGCACAGTTAGTTGCTTTGGATTAGTTGTGTAATACTTTCCCCCGATATAGACAGGTGGACTCCAGTAACTCCAGAATATCACATGATCCTGTTTTCTTAACACCTGGGGACAAATACTCAAATGATCTCCTAATTTGCTCACAAGACTAATTAGCCAGGCATGGTCTGTAAGCTTATTCACATGTTAACAGATGTTTCTGAAACTGAAGTAATTTTAAACTGTCAAACTGCTGCAGTCTCCTACCTTCAACATGCCACTTTAAAAAAACACCTACTTCACCTTCATTGAGCTTTTCAGAATTTCCACATGACCAGGGCTCAGGAAGCAGTGGAGCTGGATATGTACAGGAAATGCTCTGGCGGGGGGGGGGGGGCATCTCAAATGCCGCTGCTCTTGAAGCATCTGGCTGGCCTTGGCACAGAAATTGATGGTAGTGTTAAGGCAGAGTGGGATGTTCTTAAGCCTGTACCTTTCAGCCCTTCTTAATCACATAAATTAGAGAACTAAAAATGAACAGAATGTGCAGAATGTTTCACTTGCCTATGGCATTCTAGCTTCTCTGTTACAGTCCAAACCTGCTGACTGCAATGTTTGGGTGGCTAGGTTTACGTAAAATGCAGCAAAACCTCACAGTGGGGTACATGGGCCAAGAGTGAACTGCTGGGTTCCCAAGAGCCAGGGCAGGAGCTCTGTGTTTTCTTTGGACTGCTCATTGATAAGGATACACTCATCAGCTACACTGTAAGTCTTCCCAGTTCATCTTCTAAATCCTTCAACAGGTTCCAGATCATTCTCTATTCTCCCAATATGAATGTTCTGTACTCTCCTATACCTCGAGTTTCAATTAGTGTATCTTTATCAAAAACTGTTTGCAATCTATGTAGAACATCTTATTCCCTCTTCAGATCTAACCCAAATACCAGCAGCCCTTCTACGAAGACTTCTGCACTTCTACACCATCCAGCGCTTCTTCCTCTACTCCTGGTACCTGTCTGTCTTTCAATCTGTCCACCTTGGTAGCAGTCAGCATGGTGAACATCTCTCTTCTTGATTAGACCATGAGCTTCTATGCAGTGTAGTCACATGAAATGTGCCTTCCAATAAAGGGATCAGAAAGCCTATCCACATACTGCCTGTGATTCAAATGACAAGCAGGACACTGGTATAATATTTTTGAAACATCCTCAGTATGAGGTCTAAATTCAACATTTTTGGTACAATTAACCTAAGGAGTATATAAGAATTAAACTAATGAAACTGAGCTTGAACTTAAGTTACACTGTATGTCATCCAAGACTGCTGGGTGGTACCTTGAGAAGCCAGGAACAAAAGGCATCAGGGGAGGTGAAAGGCCACATGACTGTCACTCTCATGGGCATATCATTCACTCATTAGCCTTCTGTTTACTGAAACAAAACAAAGCAAACCTCAGATGGCCAAGTTCTGGTGTCCAGTGGGCTACATCTGTTCCCTGCACCATTTGCTAAGTGAGTGGAGAGTGTGATTTATATTTTGATGAATACCCCTCTGTGTTTATTTCTTAGTGGTTGCTCAATTAATATTTGCAGGACAAAAGAATTTTTTATTCAGAGTCTATACAAATATAAGTACCTTAAAAAGTGCAATATTATTGAAGGGATAAAAGTTGAGTGGACATAGACAGTAAGCACTCCTCACATTTCCTCACAGGACAACAGGGTGTTATCCAAGCCAGTGTTTACATTTTTTTATTCCATCAACAGCTAGTAGAGATGAAACAGTAGCAGAGAGAGAAAACATTCAGGAATTTGAAATTAATACACCTGTACCTCTCTACTGTTGCCTTCAGAACCATTTCATGTCTGTAGTTGATACATGGCATTTAAATAAAAAATCAGTGACATACGAAAATGGCCAGGAGTGATCAGGAAGCCTTTGCTTTCATCCTGGACAGCAGAACCTCATTCTTTCGACCCTCCTAGAGGAGAAACAGGGAGGGTGTTAAAAAGAAGTAGTAATGACATTAGTCATTAATAGTAATGACATTATCAGGGCCAGATGGTCTTCTTTTTGCCCAAGTCCCATAGGAGACACCTGACCAACTAAATTATACTCCTAGCATGGTAAAACCAACTGAATCATATGCCAGCATGATGCAACTTCCCAATACCTATTGACCTATATCCAAAACGAAAACAGGTTATGATGCTGCTCAATATCCAGGCTGTCAGACTAAAGAAATGAGAAGATTAGGCACTGTTATTCCAAAGGGCTTTGAAATTTTCTAAAATCTTCAATGTGTCAGAAGCAGAAAAACAGACATCTACCCACCAGTCTTGGTGAGAAATCAGAAGGGGCCTTGAGACATGACCCTAAGGGAGTAAGTTAGGTAGTCTTAGTGTATAGGAAAAAACAAGCAAACAAAACTCCATACACTTACACTCTAACAGTGAAAGCTAGGACTATACTCAACTTTAAGGGAGAAAAGGTTTATTTTGGCTCACAGTTTGTAGAAGTTTCAGTATGTAGTTGGCTGACCCATGGCAAGATGGCCTGGCAGAAAGGTATTGCAGAGGAGAAACAGTTCATGGTGGGCAGAAGATAGCAAACCAACAAAGTAGTGAAGAAGCAAGTCCAAGAGATCTTAGGTTCTCTCTTGCCGTTTTATACTCTAGGTTTAGACTACTAGGTTTAGGTTTATACTCTAGGTTTAGACTTTAGGTTAGGCTACTAGGTTTAGACTGGATGCCAAACCAAATAGTGGATTCTTTTACTCATTACACACCCTAAATCTCAGCACCACACACTCTAGATCCAGCCACCACTGGAAAAGTTCCACCTATTATTGCATGAGGTTTTGTGAGTATCTAACCACAAGCCACATCACCTTTGTGTTGTTTGGTCTTTCCTTCTTTGAAAGTCTTGCTACGCACTTTCTAACCCTTTGTTTCCACTGTCCTTTTAGCTTAACACTTTCACTTGCTAGGAAGCCTCCAACTCCCAACTGCATCACCAGGATTCAGATGTGGCAGTAATCAAGCCTCTGGAGGTCAGACTTTCCTGGAGACCTATTTGCTACAGGAGAAAAGTTTCCTTTCACCCCCAAACCTTCTGCATTGAAGACACCGAAGTCGTTTCCATCTCCCTGGGCTAAGCTCCCAGCACTCCAGAAGCTCTTTACTCTTCAACCTACTGTTGAAGCAGCACAGCTGCAACAAGCGTGTACCCTAGCTTCCTTAAGACAAGTGCTGGTTCACCCCAGAATTTAGAATCTCTTCTACTTGGAAAGGTGGGAAAAGCTGGGCTCCTAGGTTGAGAGGAGGCGTGGATTTTTATGTCAGAAAGTCAGAACCAACATGCTCTGATATCTTTCAAGCACTTTTTAAGAGGGAGAGGTGGTTAATGTTTTTTGGGATTGAGAAAAGAAATAAGGTGATATTGGAGTCTATCTGTTATATTACAAAAGTAAAGAAAGTTTTAAGGTGAATTTTTGAGATTTTCTTTGGGGGGCACTCAGTTTTAAAAAAATGAGTGAAATGAGGAAGAGATGGAATAAAACAAGTAGTTATACCACTGTATTGTTTTAAGTTGCTACTTTTGTGTATTTTTGGAGATTTTTTGTAATAAAAATATAGAACACTAAGTAAGGTTTCAACTGTCATTCTACCTCATGGTTTAAATGAGGCAAAAACAACTCAGCAGCATTAAAATACTTCTGCCATAAAAGTCCCCCACCATGAATAATTTATATCAAACTATACTGAGATTGTGTTTGTTTGCATTTTTTCAGTAAAAATATCCTAGACTGTCACCTGCCATGTGTGAGCACTGATTAAATTTCATGAAATCTCCCTAAAACTTTTTTGTAGACTATAGAATGATATTGTTTGTTTTCTTCAAAGTAAATACAAAAAGGGCCCCGAACGTACTTCTTTCTAGAACAGGAAAAGGAAAAATGTCTCATCACCTCTCTTTCCTGCTGAGACCACTATGGCCATGCTCTTTCCTGCTGAGATCATCAGCCACCATGCACCACCAGATACAGTACTTAGCAGTGAGCACAGCTCATTCAACATTATGTCTCCAAAGGTAGCACCGTAAAAACACAGTCTGCACTCGCCAGTCCCATTCGAGAACTTAAATCTTAGTTTTATGATCTTTTGGGAAGCTGGTTTAGTGACACAATCGGTACAGTACAGTGATTCAGGTGATTTCAGAGCACAGTGTGTATTGTTCCCCAGCAGATTTGTAGTTAATAAACTCTCCTAGAATGGGCAAGTTAACATCATTTTTAGAGAAAATCCAAAGCTTCTAATTAAAAAGTTGTTAATATCAGAGGTGGCTAGGACTCAGGATAAGGGCATGACACAGTGTCTACACAGTTTTCATGAGGCATCAGTGGTGTTCAATTAATGTGGATTAATCCAAACCCAGTAAACCCAACTGTGGAAGCAGCAAAAGGCTTCCATGATCTAGATGACAATATTGTGCTTCCCATGAAGAATTACTGTCCATTACAAGTGTTAGAGGGCCAAGATGAAAATTCAGAACACAGAAAGAGAGAGCCAAACAAGCAAGGGAGAGGCAGGTAAAGAGTAAAGAGCAGAGAAGATTCTGAGAGAAGATACCACGCGGGATGAGAGCCTGACTTTTTAACTCTACCACAAAAGAGATCTTAACCTGGAATTCAGTCTGTGAAACAGAGTACAGCAGAATGATTCTGGCTCAAAGTATGGTAGAAATTGTGAACAGCCAGAAAACCCCATTGTCAATGCCTCCTCATCACTTACAGTGGCTCCAGATTATCTCAGGGGAGGTAGTGGGAGGAAATTTAAGATTTTGGAATGCTGAGAAGTGGTTGTTAATTTAAAATTTTTGCCAAGCAAAATGGTTAAAAAAAAAAAAAAGACTACTAATACTTGTTTTTAAAGAGAAAGGCAAGTTTTAAAACACACACATGCATACACACAAGCAAGAGAGCAAGTTACCTGGTTAAAAGTAAAACACAGTTAAATAAAATGTGTACAAACATTATATAATAACACACCCACCCCCTGTTTTGCATTGAAAAGAACTTAGGCATGGGCAAGCATCTCTTTTTGAGGACTTAGTCTCTGAGGTGATAATAGCTGGGCCCTGAAGGGGAACCATGAAGCTCAATAACTTAGAAGGAACATTTTCTTTCAGGGTCACCTAAGCCTTTAGCCCAGAGAGCCTGCAGTGCGAGCATTTTGTTCTTGTTTGCTCCAACTCTGAGAGCTTGTATTTACTCTCTACTGCTTGCCTTCTGCTTCCACACTGTCAAAAGAGCAGTGCTGCTGGCATGTCTAAGCAACATTTGAAATGTAACGCTTCTCTCTCAGCCTTTTCTTCTTTTGAGTTATTTGGGTTACAGGGAAGAAAGCACTACAGAGGAGAGCAGCATGTCCTATTTGTGCCCTGCGAGCTTCCTCGCTGGTTCTACAAAGACTTCAGCTCAAACCACTCTGCCAGTCAGTCCTCCGCCAGGAAGGCCCTGGCTGCCTCACAGTTAACCTCTTGCTGTCCCACATGCACTTGCTTTTCTATGCCTGAGCTCTGTTCGTCTACAGAGTCCTTCCCTGATCGTGCTGTCTGAATTGGTTCACTCACGTGGCAATCTGAGAAATTATTTAGTATGTCTTTCCTACTAGAGTTTGTTTTTATTCTTTAGCTTCTTATCTTTCTCTCCCACTGCAATGTAAGCTCCTTGTGGAGACAACAACTAGTCTGTTTTACAACTTGGGTTATTCCCAAGAGTACAGCAGGAGCTATGAGAATATTTAAAAGGATGTATGATTTTGAAATGCCTGAGGTTGTGATTTCCAAAAGTTAAAAATCACACACAAAAAACACACAGGACAAGTTGAAAGGGGAAAGACTGGAAGAGAAGACAGAAAGTCTTGAACAAAACTACTGTCACAGAAGATTACATTTCTTATTCCTTAGATCAAGCACCAGGATAAAACCTATCTCTAATTCCCCTGTATTTTCAGCAGCCTCTGACCTCACCAAAGCCTGATGGATTTAGTTCAGGAAGATGCAAGGAGTTCCTGGCTAGTGAGACTCTGCCTGTCTGTAATCTGCCTGTCTCTTTCTTTCTCTTTTTGTGGAAAATCTAATAAAAAAGCTACCATTTTTCTTCCTGGAAAAATGAAGACACTCCATAACCAAATGAAGGGAGTAAAAATAATGGACAAACAGAATTCAGTTGGATGCTGGATGTATTTTCTCTCTCCCATCTGACCCACAGAACCACCATGGAGGCAGTTGGGCTTGCAAAGACTGACCAGTGCTGAAAGGTATGGCTGCACAGTGTAAACGGTAGGGTTCATTCTCAACCCTGCCATATGTTACAATTCTCTCTTCCTACTCAGATTCCCCAGATCCATTCCTATCCTGAAATTAGCAGGAGAGAAGATTTATTCTCTATGTAAACCCACAGGAAATACTCTTGATGTGGGGTAATGAAGCCATTGTACTTGTTAGTTAACAGGCTTTATAAATGTTAGGAAAAAGAAAATAAAGATGTGAGGTATCTTACAACGTATGACAACAGTGACACCTCGATTTATGAACATAATCTGTTTTACTATTTTGAGGAAGATGGCCATGGTTGTGTTCATTACTCAACGTGGAGTTTGTGAACAAAAGGAAGACTCTGCATAATGTCTGCAAACAGAAGTGTTCATGAACTGGGGTACTGCTGCAGATCCTACATATGGATCCGAGAACAACTGTCAATGCCTAGGTGCTACACTGTCTTGGCAGATCACACCACCAACTTGCTATTCTCACCACAGACAAGAAAACGAGACCAAAATAAAAATAAAAACAAACAAACAAAATCCCTGCTGTAGCTCTGAAAGGCTCATGTGGAGGTGAACATAAATCTCATTTTCACCTTTCTGTGCCCTGGCAAACCTTACACTTACCTCTTTAAACTCTTTCACAGTTTTAAAGTATAGTCTCTGCTTTTCCAGCAGTTCCAAGTACTGGTCGTTCAACTGGTCTCTTCTCATTTTATTTTCTTGCTTCTTTTTCTCCATCTGTTCAAAACATTTTAGGAAACGGTGGGTGATAAAAAGCCATTCTGAGAAAGGTGCCAGCAGCACACAAATAGCAACCATTAACACTTTCATGGATTCCCTTCCAGTACTTTGCTTCTGCAAATGTTTGCAGTTAGCTAAATTATTTGTATATGACAGAGATTCTATAATTCATTCAGGAAAACTTTATTAACTGAACATTAATGCATGACAACTGTTTTTTGTTACTATAAACAGCTTCACAATGTACAGAAATTGAAATAGTGATTCTCAACTGGTGCCTCTTTGCCCTCAGAGGGCATCTGACAATGTCTAGAGGAAGTTTTGATTGTTCTAACTGTGAGAAGCTGCTTCTGGTATCACTGGTTGGGGCAAAGATGCAAAACATCCTACAATGCTGAGAATCACCCCACCACAAAGAACCTCTGGCCCAAAGTACCTCTTGTGTTGAGGCTGAGAAATTGTAATTTATATAGCTGTATGTTATATAATAAAATTGTGTATCATCTAGTCCGATGTTGCAAACTCTTTATAATTTTTAAAACTGTATAGTGTTCCTGATCATTGCTTATTCATCTTTCTACTGATAGAAAACAAAGGTTTTTCCAGGGTTCTGATCTCATAAACAGAATCTTAGCCTTTGATTTAAAGAGGCTCTTGTAAGGTACCCAAAAGCTTACTCACTCAATAAACACTGGTTGAAAACCTATGGAATACCTAAAGGTAGCAGCGAATAAGGCAGTCCTGCCCTCACAGTGTACATTTAGAGACTGACATTAAACCAGCATCTAACAGACACAGATTAAAATTCTCAGGCACTATCAGTTCTCTGAAGACGAACAAGCATGGGGTGGGCACACAGCTTCTTCAAACTGCATGGAAGGCAAGGTTCTCTAAGGAGTGACACTGCTACAGTGCAAGCAAAGGTTGTGTGCTGTATCTTCTGAAGACAGACTCAGATATCAGCCAGTCAAAAAGAGAGCACAGGAAAAGTTACGGTGCAGACCTGGTGCTTGCTGAATGAATCGTGACACCTCCTCTGGCTTCACTCATCAAAGGGAATTTATAATTGGTAAGAACAAATTTCAGATCAACTGGCTATACCTTAGTAGTTATCTTCACTATGTGTACCCAGGGCCTCTGTCGACCTCAAAGGTGAACTGTAACCTGGCATCCCTAAGACCTACCCCAACACTGTTCAAGGGGTCCAGCTCACATATGCACTTATGGTCCAATTCAGACTGTGAATCAGCTCCTGAGCCAGGATCTGTGCTTTCCTTTTTCAACAGGTCTGAATATGGACATCAAACAGCAAAAGGACCCTGCTGCACCCTATGCTAGGATTCCAGTGTGGTAACCTTCCTTTACCGAGGTCTCCCCAAGTAGGCAGTTCCCTCTGGGTATACCAATGGTGCCCTCCCATACTCAGGGTCAGAGGCTGTCCCTGTATCACTAGTACCAGCCAGTCACAACTCCCCCTTCTGTACTCCCCTGGACCCCAGTTCCCCCAGTCATCAGACCTTTCACTGAGGTAGGGTCTCACAGCCAGATCCTTCCCTCTTTCTAAACACAACAGGTGGTAGCCCAGGCCTCTCCTTTCTTCTCAGGGCTTTAGCAAAATTCTGTCTACGATGAACTATGTTCTAGTGATGTAAAAAATGCACTTGAATTATGAATCTATCCAGGACTTACTATGGGATAGTACAGCAATGGGATAGTAGACTATGAGCATAAGGCCAGAAGCTAAGGTTCAATTTACAGCTGTTTTTTCTGTAGATTGTGGGTAGACTATTTCAATTTCTGAGTGACAGGTCACCCTTAGCTGTAAAATCAGCATTTTATCATCTAAATCACAGGGTTTGCTATGAGGAATATGTTAAGTGGATGATACGTAATTTGGTTCTTAGCTGCTATTCAACCAAGGCAACTTTTCTTAACATTTAATGTACTAGACAGCATTAAGAGTTTCCCTTTTTCAGATCAGATCTCTCATTCTGCATCTCTGAATGTTTTCATATTCCCTTATTTAATTCTCCTTGACCTTTTAAACCATTCCTACTCCTCACTCATCACCTCAGGAACTCCAGAGATCCAGAGATTGTATTTCCTCTGAGTAAGGGACAAAGACCTACTGATATGATTCCCTCTTTGCTCAAAAGTCCACAGAAAGAATATAAACACCTATTCTATCATCTGTACCCAACAGTAGCTTTCATCCTGTGACAGCCTGATCCACCAATTTCGGGGAATCTATCTTTGGGAAGGATACAGACTTTACCTGTCACATGGAGGAGAACAAAACCCATTACGGCACCATTATAGGGAAGGTTATGTTTTCCTTTCTTCTTTCTTTTAAACAAACATGACATCTACTCCAATGAGTGCTGTAGCTCAAAGGAGACCAGCTGATTCCAACCAATATTCAAACCCTATATGGAACCTTATTTTAGTACTGCTTATAAAATTCCTGCTGTTCTTTCACAGGACCAAGGGAGGGTCCCTCAGGAGAAGCAGTAGCAAGGTAGAAACTGTCCACCACAGAGATTTGGGCTGTCATTGGATTTTAGGCAGTCAGGTTCCACTTACCTCATACCCAAGATCACCAAGAAAGGACTCCATTTACTCTATCCTGCCTAACATGTTACTCGTATGTGCTGACTCAAGTTTCCTGCCATTTTTGTGGCTGAATAGTGGCAGTAATAATTCTTCTATTGGTATTTTTTTTTTCTTCTCACATTATTTCATTGAGGAGATTAATGGAAACACTAATGAGATTTTTCTAAAATGAAAGGAATATGGGGCACTTTTTACCCTTAACTCATTTTACCATTAACTCATAAAAAATGTTTTTAGAATGACAAGACCTAGAGGCAACTCTTTCTTTCAAGTGTTTACAAACTGAAGTCACTAAAGCACTCTGCCTGAAGACCATGAGAAGAAACACTTTAAGTCTCCATAGGATTTTACTATTGAATCTAATGAGCATTATAGTCTGTTATGTTTTTTACATAGGACCGAAAGCAAGAGGTATCTGGAAGTACTCATTAGGATTTATCTGAAAACATGGTAGGAAACTACACCTGTGTGTATGCTGTCAGTTTAAGCTGTCAGTAAGCCCACATTCCTATTGATAAAGTGGGCCCATATTAGGTTCCACAAAGGCAGGGCACTCTAAGCTGCCCCCAGACTGTGGCTCTCTGCAAAGCTCTGTTGGTTCCTATACCCTTGGAAAGTGCCTCTCCATTTCCTTCTGACTTTTGAGGTTCATTTCATCTCACTCTAGCAGAAGTCAGTGATTATTTCCCTTTTTTATATGAAAGATCTTGAAAACCAAAATGCTCTAGATCCCAAGACTGCTAAGGAATGAAGTGGTAGTGACAGAATGCCAAAAAGCTGAGATCTGGTGAAATGGCTAGCTAAGAGAAGAAGCCTGCTAGGGAAAGATGGTCTTTGCATCTGTAATATGGGGCAGCAATATTCACTGAGGAGGCTCAGAAGGATAAATGAGCTACTAACAAAAGCAGCCTTTGAAATTCGCAGTGCAGGAAGCCCTGAGCAGGTCTTGTCCCTGCAAAGTCAGCTGCCCAATACAATAAAGGAGTATTGCAGGATGGAGTACTTACTCTGCACCACCTTACTGACCCCCACAGAACTGCTGCAATACAGAAAAGCAGCTGCTGACCTTCATCCTACTTTGCTTAATTCCTTCTACGATCTGTTCCATCTGGCGTAAAAACTGGTCCCGGGCAGCAGAAGAGGCCATGGCTCTGAAAAAACAGCAGGGCTACAGTCAGTACACAAGAGAAGGGGAGACATGGAAGGAAGCAGCCCCATACCCACATGTGGCCTAAGACTTGGGGCCTTTGCAAAGAACAGGAGCCCCTCAAGCCCAGGGAATTTAGGGTTCTCAAGCTCTGAGGAGGCATGAGAATCAGCCTGGTCTACTACCTATTAATCTTTTATTTCCTACTTTTTTTTTTTTTTTTTTTTTACAACTTTCTTAACCAATATGTGTTTTCTTTAAAGTAAAATTAGACTACAAATAACATCAATTATTTACCTTAAGTTGTGGCACATACTGCATAAAACTTAAAATCTATTTAGTTTTTAAAAATCTGAGAACTGGGAGACACTGCTCAGGATTTATAAAAATGTTCTTAGTGTTCGTAAAACCAGGGTTTGAATGCCTGGGTTCTATTGCTAGAAGCAGCAACTAACAGTAGATTACCTAATGTGCCAGTATATTTCTTCCTCCCCTCCAGCTCTACAGAGTGGGGACAAAGTACACATAGGATCTGAGAATTCTTCCAAAGGGCTAGTAGACAGAACAGAACTCTTCACAAAGACCCTCACACTGCTGGCTCTCTCAATTGTCAGGAAAGGGAAAAATAAAGCACCAGTTTTAGAAATGTCACAGGACTGGAAAGTGCTAACTGAATCCAAATCTTATCAGGGACCTATGGTGGTTAGGATTTTGTTTTTAATTAGAAAAGACGCTCAAAATCTAGAACTTGTAATTCATGAAGTGCTCAGTTTTACTGTGTCCCTGCTCACCTGTCGAGGGCCAGAAGTTTGTGCTAGAAAGAAAACCTGGTATCCAGGGAGCCAGCCCTGGGCCGCTGGGATGGTGGCGGCTACAGTCCGTCAGGGATATGCTCGAAGGCTCTTATGATCTGGGAACAGATGGGCCTTCCATCCAATTTTTGAAGGAAAATAATTCATATCTGAACACAGTACTTTAGAAATGTACATTAACTTAAAAATGAAATCTTCTCCAAGGTTTAAGACTTTTAAAATTATACAGGTTTTATTACCTAAATTTTAAAGCTCAAGAACAAAGTGTATTAATCAGAATTTAGATAAAATGGATATATAGAAAAATTAGACAGGCAAAGTCAGATTATTTGAAAGGTAACCTTTGCAACTGAGTTCTTTTTTGGTGTTTTTAAAATTTACTCTAATCATTATATTTGTGCAGGAACTGAAGCAATGTAAGTCTAGCTATATCTGCCCTCAGCAAAAAGGGAGAAAGTGTCTGAATTACATGCCTGGCATTACACCTTGGATCCACCTTTCTTTGCCACACTATGGTAATGCAAGGTGGGTGAATGCAAAGAGTAGCGTGACTAGAGTGTGTACAAAAGGATGGGAAGTACTTACTGTGAGAAGTTCTCATGAATTGAATTGAGTAAACTAATCTGGAGAAATAAAAAACAAAAAAGGGAAACTCTAAGTAAAAGGCTGAAAGATCCTCACACTATCTGAGCCATAGAAAGCCTGGCTCCTCTGCAGATACTGTTTGCAAAAGGAGCATACAGCTTATTTACGCAGATTAAAATAACATGAAAGAAAGAACAGAGGAACATGTTCTTAGTCTCATAATTTTCCTTATGGAATCCGCATCTACTCATGGGAGACTTCTTTTCCTATTATGCATTACCACAGGATATAGGAGGGCCCTAAATGCCAGCTGAACAAATGCTAAGTTAATACCAGGACTCTCTGGAAAGTCCTTACAATAGCCAGTTTCAACTGTCCAACACTATACTTTGTTTTCAGGGCCACTGGCACAGGAAGAGTTAGTTGCTATAGAGACTAAAAACACAGTACCTAATCTATTCCTCTCCTCAGAGGAATCTCCCTGATGTGCCCAGCTGCAGGTTAGTTCTGAGAGCCTCTGAATGAATCCGTCTTTCATGGCCCATTTTTATGGGCCTTCCTCAGCTCCCCAGAGAAAGCCTCATTGATGCACTCCAGTGATACATCCCAGGAAGGTTCTGGGTCTAGACTCCAGAAATCTGAGTCATCTCCTGGCAGTGTATCTATTCAACAATTCCATATGTCTACAATGTGGAAATAATATTCTTGCCGTTAGTACTCCAAAGAGACATTTTAAAGCTAAACTATCACAGGCATAAATGCATCGAGAATAAAATACACATCTCAAATGCCAAGTTCTGTGTAAATACAGTTTGGAATTTAAAACTCGGTTCTGGTTCCCTATCTCTGGCCAATACTACAACTCTTAAAGAATATAACAACTGTAATCACTGCTGGTGAATGAAGGGCAATGGGTTCAAGGCTCCTGAGAAGGAGCTGGCCCATCCCTAAGTTATTATAGGAGGCAGAGGCAGCCTCAAGATGTGGGGTGGGGAGGAATTAATATGTACAAGACTCTACCACACACAAGGATCTTGTACTTCCTCATTCTATCTTGATCATAATCACCCTCTCTTCATCAGTGTGTGCAATGTGACCCTCATTTTAGAGGCAAGGAAAATGAGGCCAAACTGAAGCTCAAATACAGCTCCAAAGGCTGTGCTCTCTTCACTACATAGTATAGCTATAAAGACTGCCCCAACGGCTTTTTCATTAAACACAGCTGCCTATCCTGCTCTTACCATATGTGTCTGGTGCTGGGGAGCCCTGAATCATGAGTGGATTTAAACTGAGTGGGAGAGTCAGAGTAAGATGGAGAAGGTACCAGTGCCCATGTCAACTCTTTGCCTCTGCTCTGAATTTCATTCCTTTTCTTTCATGTGTTTGCCTGCCACTGATGATTAAACAACCACTTTTTCTTCACCTGTGCTACAAAAGACCACTCACCTATGCCCATTTCAATCAGCAGGTCCCACCCTTCTTTTAAGTCTAATTTCCCCAGCGCCAGAGCTCATGGTGTACTTCTTTTCATGATGGCATTTCTCACAGGCCACCTTCCAGCCTTACTTCACCCCAGAAAATGGACTCCCAAAGAGTCTGAACTTTTTGGTGAAGAATCTTTGGCATACAAAAGGCACTCTTTATCTACTTATACTGAATGCATCCATTCAAGCATCAGTCCATTTGAAGTTCCTGGAGTCAACTGCTCCTCTCATTATTTCCTTTTCATAAGAGTTCTTACCTCTTTTTCCAAATAAATCTTTTTGTCATCCAGAGTATTATATAAAGTGAAGAACTGCTTGGTTTCTTTGTGGACTGCTGAAACTATAAATGGAAAGAAATCAGCACATGAGTACTAACAGTTAACAAACTGACCTCGACACTCTTTCACCAATGAGGCACAATGCCAGATTCAGGTCTACTTGGGCTGAGAAACCTCACAGTATACCAAAGCAATCACCTTGTAAACTTTTAAAGGCTCAGGACCAATTAAAAGGAATGCAAGCAGGTGATAGCACTGCACAGCCAAAATCTTAAACCACTGCCATAAATGAATCAGTAACCATTCCCCCATGTGGCTCAAGAACTGGGTTTAGTTTAAGGATATTTCACAATAGTAATAAAAATTGATATGATATTTGCTTGAAAATGGCTTTGGTGTAAACATGTCTCTAACAAATGACTTTAATGTGTGGAATTCACTCTGAAATATATGGATGCAAGGTATTGCCACTGTTAACAGGTTTCAAGCAGGAAAAGAAATATTAATGGGCAAGATTTTGGTTAAGGCAAAAAACTATTTTCTAGTCAACACTGATACCCCATCTCTACCCATCTGAATCATGTCTGAAGACTGGCTGAAAGTTCAAGCTGCTCACTGCAGTGAGACGTGAGGAAGCAGCAGAACCTAACTCCAGGAAGGTGAGTGCTCAAGTCTGAACCAGCAAGGGTGCCTGTGAAGCCAAAACTAGCAATTCTGAGGGCCATTCTGAGTGTAATGAGATGTGGTCACTGATCCAGGATAAGGGGAGACTGGTCCTGGATTACTGGGTGAATATAATGTTTTTAAGGTAAAGATCACAGTAGCAAGAATGTCTGTAAGTAAGGAGCTGTCAGGGAGAACCCATGCTCCACGTAAAGTAGAAACACAAGAGTGGGAGCTCATTGGGAAGGCCACATGGGTGACCAGAATAAGGACTAGCTCAGCTTCACCAGCAGTGATAGCACCACAGTGCTGTTCCTGGCATTTCAATGTGGCCTGACAATGAAACAAATCCTTTTCTGGGATAGCATTTGTGGTCTGTACTCTGGCCCATCCTCCACCATGATAAAGTGAGCCATGGCCCCAGGCTTCCTATCTCTCCCAGCCTTGAGTTTGTGTGGTCAATGCACCTACTCTGGCGGTAGAGTTCAATGAATCTCTTCTGATACTGTATTAGCTCCGCTCGGCTGGGCACTTCATCAATCTTGCGGTGCAAAATCGCTATTTCTCGATTTCTTCGAGCCTAAAGGCAAAAGAGACAGGAAGACAACCTACTTGGTAAAAGACTTTAAATCCTCTGTGGAACTAAAATATTGTCCAACCACAACTGAGCTCAATCACATGCCCTAGAATGAAGAAAGAAAATTATGTCTTTGGTTCCAGTGCCCCACCTGAAATTTTGATGGACTTTATTTCTACCATATGAGATGAAGAGTGCTGTGCTGCGAGCTGAACCATAGAAAGTGTCAGGGTAACAACAGACCAGAAAGGAAAGATTCTGAATGGAATAGACTTCCATTCAGAGAGGCCACCAGGTCCCAGAAGCTTCCTCTAAATGCCTGGTGTGGGCTACCAAAAAAGGAATGCTCTACACAACTATTCACTTTTTGTACTGTATTTATGGTCTTTGTTTCCCTGTCTATTTATCTAACCTAATCTTACCCTCTCTACTGGTTACTCACTGACATTTAAATATGTTCAAGTCCTTTACTTTTTCAAAAACCTTCTTCCTTAAATATCACTTTTGGCCTCCAGTGTTTGTTTTTTCCTTTCATAACAACCTCACTGACAGCCACATTAGCACAGAGCTTTTTCTGCCCCCTCCATACACCCTCCAACCCACTGCAGCTGGGCTTATCCCCATTGGCCACTGAACTACTCCTGAAAGTCAGTGTAGACCTTCTCAGCCACATATCTGAAGAATGGTTCTTGCTTCTAGCTCTTCCGACTCCCAGCAGCACTTCCCATCCTTGTCACTGAGCCCTCCTCAGCTTCTGGGAGCTGCTCTCATTTTCCACCTGCCACAGTTTGGTCTTATACACATTAGCAAACTCCTCTTTTTTCTCCTCCTCAAGGTCTGGGGCTCCATCTACATTTTCACAAGCTTCAGATATTAGCTACATAGGGTGGACACTCAAATCTCCAGCCTAAACAATACTGTAAGTTGGACCCAACAACTAGTCACTTCTTGGGTATTTCTTCCTGGCTGGCTCCCCTAGATACATCTCATTAACATTTCTATTCATTTTTCCATTCCTGTTTCTCTTTATCCGTTTTCTCAATGAGTAGCACAAGTATCTACCATTGTGTAAGAACCTGCCACATCATCCATGACTCCACTTTTTCCCATCCAGCTGGGAAGTTCCATCACACATAGATCCTCACTCTCCCCACAATGTATTTCATGCATGCCCTGCCCACCGCCTGACTCGGGCATTCAATAAGCAACTGATTTTATTGCAGCTTTCTTCTAGTTGGATAGAAGCTGCATTTACTGATTCAGGGAAAGTACTTACCCTATTTGAGTCAACTTTTTCATACAAAAAACAAACCTACAATTTACTTTCCACCAGGGTAAAGTTCAATTCAAATCAGTGATGGTAAAAGTAACATAGCAATGTGAGATGCTTTTAACATCTTAAATCATGGAGTGACACTCCAGATAGAAAGGAGACTAGTAAACAGCAGTCTCGTTGCACCTTCTTGCTTGTGAACCAGGACATTCACACCTAGTTAAGATGTATTTGTATATTGTTTGTTCTTGCTTTTACTCACCTGTAATAAACGGATCTTGTAAAGTTTCTCTTTCTCCATATTATATCGCCTATCTAGGTCTTCCTAAAAGTTGAAAAAAGGCCATGAGTATCTGGGAATGGAAAACTTTATTTATTCATCGAATCTCTGAAAGATGACTACCATCATATCTTCCCCATATTGAGACCTCAAATTTCTTTTGTCAAATTACCAAGTTCAAGGTCTATTTTCACATAAAATTCCATATACTTCTTCTATAGTATGTTGTAACAATTCTTCTTTAGTCACCAATCTTGGCTGAATTTAATGTTAAGTGAAATAACTTCCCTATCTATGTACCCATCCTTCATACAAAAAATAAAAAATAAAAAATAAAAAGACTGTGATGATGACATTGCAGTTAGAATTTATTGTTCTATATCTCTGAAGATGATGTTTTTATTGCAGTATAACAGCCACTAGCCCCGCATGGCTATTTATATTTACATGAACTAAAATTTTTTCAGACTTCAGTTTTTCAGTTATAACAGACACATTTCAAGTGCTTGATAACCACATATAGCTATACTATACTATACATATACTATATTAGTGCAAACACAGAACATTTCCATCACTACACAAAGTTCTACTGGAGAGTACCTATATGGAGATGAGACATTACCTCTGCACTGACTGATATAGTCACGGCTGGAAGCTTTGCTGCTTCAGGGAAAGTTACAAAAGGGATCAGAGGTGCCCTTGTCCCCAGCATGTGTACATCTACACACATGCAGGAACACACACACACACACACACACACACAGTATCTTTCACAGGGCTCAGTTGTAGGCAACCTCCAAGAGATTTCACAGTTAGGAATCCAGAGGCCTGTTCTCCTAGCAGGTTATGAAGGGGCACCATGAATATGACAATGCTTTAGAGCTTTCCTGCCTTTCCTTTACTCATCCTCTTTCTTTCCTTTTACTCCTGGAGGATTACTATAGACAGACCAGCATAGGTCTCCCCTTCTCAGCTATGAATACAAAACACTCACACTCTGGATTGGAAGAAAATTCACCAGAATGGTGAGCATTAGGGCCACTCTTGGTGAGGCCCTATCTCCACTTGGGGAGCCAGGTCTGCAGACAGATATAGTGCCTCTAAAAGCCCAGCAGATAAGGAGGTGCTTGAGGAGACTACTAAAGTAGGCACGAGAAACTGTTGAGAGAATGGGAAGCTGGCTGCCACTTGCTCTTGAGTATAACATTGAGGCAGGTACTTACATTGTGAGTCATCACAGAGGTCAGCACACCATCTGGCCCTCCTTCATTGGCGAGAGTCTAAAAGGATGGAAGCATAATAAATACTTTTCCTGATAAAAGCAAGTAGGATGGAGGCTATTGTAGGAAGGCTGTGGGAGGCGGGAAGAACAGTGGAGCTAACTCAGCAGGTCAAAAGAGAAAACAGAAATCAAAAAAGCCCATATATTGAGCTCTAGGTTTTAAATTGTTCTTCAGTGTCTGCCAGTTAAACCCTAACAAGCTAACTGTAGCTCTTTCTGAATATAAGTACCTCTGTAACAAGATGTACCAAGATAAGGTAATCCTGAAAGTCTGGGATCTGATGATTCATGTCTGAAATGTTCAAAGTTCGAGAAGGGACTGTAAAGACAGACTGTGTGGTGACGGGGCAAGATACCACTGAGATAGTGGCTGTGCTGGTCAACAGGCCACAGAAACGTGAAGTTACATGACCAGGCTGAAATGAGGCCTGGATCTCTCCAGTTTGTGGTAGGGTCCTGCACAGCTCAGAGCAGTCAGTGGAGAGTGCCAGGCCCAGCATGGGACTTCCAAGCCACTGGAGAAGTCTCTTCTTCCCTTTAGAGCTTCAAGGTCCCCTTGAATTCTTACATTCTACTAAGCACAAGGACTCTTCAGTTATAAGCTATGAATAAAGTATGAGAACTACAACCAAAGGGATCCTATCATCTTCTTTAACAGAAGAAACAGCGCATTTTCCCATCTCTATTTTTTTGTGAGTGAGGCACATCCCACACAGCCATGGATGAGGGTTAAATGAGCAAACTGAACAAAAATTTAATGAACAAGGAGAATGGGAACAGCTCAGACTGACACCTCTTGATAGAGGAAGAGGTCAGAGTTGTACAATTTGGTTTCTGGTGCCTGTGCTTGCTCCTTCTACATTTCCTGATGCCTTTTACTTCCAAAGGAAAGAAGACAGACAGACACAAGCCTAAGAAAATCAGGGGAGGAAAGCAGTTGAGAAATATGTTTACAAGCTCAGGTTAAGTGAAAGGGAGGCCCTTTTTGACATTAGAATTTCTAGACCCATATAGGCCCTAACAGCAGCTGCTGGCCTAAAAGACTAATTCAAGCCTTTACCTTCTCATCTGGTGCTCTCTCAGCTTTCAGGTTTTCAATTTCCTGCTGTAGCCGTGTCATCTCCTCCTTGAGAAGCAATATGAACTTTTATAAAAACCAGGCAAAGTAGTAACTGGATGAAATTATCTAAACGTTACTGATCCAGAAGTCTTATTTTCATTTCATGAAGGAGTTTGTTACAAGTAACAAACCAATTAGGAATAAGCTTTCTTTGATCCCAATTTTCAGTCTGAGACAGTTCTTTTCAGGAGGAAAAGGCAGCTGTCTCTTAAGTGCCTTTCTTTCTAAAAGACTGTTGACTTGTGCAGTAATCACTCAGACATGAAATGAGTGAGAAGCCTAGAGCCTAGTTTCAATTAGGCTCATCTGCTGCCTCTCCCTATCTCTGTCTCACCCAACTGTCTACCTTGCCCTAAGACACAGCTTCCAGATGGCTACTGTAGGACTGGCCGTTTCTCCCTTGAGTGCACTCAACCTGCTGAGTCTTATTTGTTGCCTCCTGCAGCAGTCACTTGTGCACAGGTCACCCACACCACTAAAATGCAAGCTTCCAGATGGCAGCTGCTTGGGCTTACACGTGAAGCATCCAGGAATCCTAGGTTTTTAGTATAACCCTGACTTTGCATGACAGTATTATCTTCACAAAAGCCAACAAAATACGGTGCATTTTAAAAAATTTTTAAAGATTTTTCTTTATAAGACATTTGTAAAACTAGTTACAACCCTCTCCATTTTGGGGCCTGACACACAGGTACTATCTGACTCTCTCTGGTGTCCTTACATGATTGGAACAGAATGGTGTGACACATCTGCTTTTTATACTGTATTGAACAGGAAGGACGTCCCAACAGCTCATGGGAGGTAACCAAGAGCTTTACTGAAAGTCCTTGGTTTGTCTGCCAACACCATACCACACTTACACGGCAATGTGCTTTAAATTCCTGTTCCTGACTTTTCAGATTTTCATTCATGGCTACAAGCGCTCTCAAATTTTGCAGAATACTGAAGAGAGAGAAAAAAAAAAGATAGATAGTAGGTCATTATGATTTTATAAATCACAGCTAAAACCAGAGCCCAGCTAGAAAGGACTCTGTTTTTAATTTCCTTTGTCTCCCCCATGAATGCCTAATAAAAGGTTTTCTGCAAATGGTAAAGACTGCTATTTAACTGATCTTATTATTCACTTACATACCCGAGATCATCAGGCAGATCCAAACAAACATTACAGACTCCAGAGTTAAAATGTTAATTGTAGAAATATCAATGAGTTTCAATAGTATTGGCTATATTTAGTGATACTAAAGAATCTGCTATATGCAGAGTATAGATAGTATCAAAAACCATTTTTAATATCCATTCTGAAAGGGAAACAAGTTGCTTAAGGTTATAAAAAAGCACTAATTCAAAAGTAAAAATGTCAAGTATCTGACAGCACTTTGCTCCAAATCGTGAAAGGTTTCCAGTTAAGAAGCCAAGTGATCTGTGGATACTTTTTGGTAATATCATCTATCAAGCCAGAAATGTTCATTCTGTGCTGAAACCTTTTATGATTTCACAATTTCACTCAAGTGAGTGACACGAGATTTTATCAGCCAAACCATCCAAAGACTAGGGGAAAAAAAGGTTAAATGTTAAGTACATCTTCTCTTCTAACTATAATTAATCTTACCTCAGGAGTGATGGAACAAACCAAACAAAAACAACAACAGAACTATAGCAGCTTGCTCTTGGCAAAAAGGACTGCATCTTTTCTGCCAAGCAGACATGGCTAAAATGTGTGCTGTTAAAAATCTGGCAAAGGATGACTGCAGACAGAACTGGGTTAGAGACAGGAGACTTTTCCCCATATGTCTTTTTGCATCATAAAGATATTACTGTTTTTAAAAACAACACCATCAACAACAGAAGCTGAAAGGGAAATTGGGAGAAAAGTGGTTAACTTAGTGCAGTTCAAAGACAGTTCAGCAAGCACATGAGTATAGACACCCCTCTCTGGCTATGTGCAATTAACTGACCTACATGCACCAGAAACCATGATTCCTGGCTGATATGTCATGCACAAACAAATTAAGTCCTCAAATATTGGCAGAATTACTTTCTTCAAAGGGAAAACAAATGTATGATGAAATCTCTTACCTTGGATCTGCTTTGGATTCTATCTTCTCAAGGGCTGCTTGCTCTTTATCCAGTTTCTCACTATGATTCTTCAACTGCAATAAAGAATGGAGGAGATTCAGCAATAGATAGGAAGGTACATTTGCTTGTCTTCCTCCCAACTCAGACCCAAACTCATCTTTCAATAGCTGGTTAAGTCCCCTGGATTTGGCTGTACACTAAGAAAACTGACAAACCAGAGAAATGGAATAGGGGTGGAAAGGCAGAGTTAGAAGGTCAAAATCACACACTTCTAGTCAATTTGTCTTCGTGATGGCTTCAAATCACAGCAGCAAATGTATGAAAAACCAAATGGAATGGACAGAGCAGGTACATTTGGTAGTACAGAGGTAAGAAAAAGAGTTGCTGTAAGATAGAGAACTGGGTTTCAATCTCAGAGTATTACTGAATAGCAGAGCCAAAGCCTCCTAGCCCCTTGAGTAATTTCACCTTCTTTTTCTGAGGCAGATAAAGTGAAAACTTTAAAGAAACTCAAAATTTAATGCATAAAGTGTGCAGTAACAGCACACAACAGAATATGATACTACAATTTTTTAAAAAGTAAAGTAGCTCTTTGATCTCTAATATCTACTGTTAGGTGAAGAAAATAAGGTATAAAACCATAAGCATGACAAGGAATGCAAACAGCAAACTTAATTTGTTGTACAATTTTGAAAAGATGATGTTCGTGTTTGAGAAAGATGGTCACAACTGTGTTTGTCACTCGATGCAGAATTGGCAAACAAAACTTTTCCAAATAATTCTGTTTAGAACCGAACTGTTTGCAAACAAAAAGGTTCATGAGTCAAGGTACCACTGTATACATAATTGCTTGAATGGACACAGTTCTAAAGACTCAAAAGCAACTGGTTCTACAGATTACCTCTGCAGAGGATAAATGGATGGTGGGTTAAGAGTTTTAATGCTTGCTGAATTTTAAATTGTGTGAATGTGCATTTTTAAAAAGAAAATTAGGAAAAAGTTCTAGTTTTAACTAAAGAGGGCAGATCAAGAACAAGTTGCAGCAGCTCCTTCTTGCTTCAAGTGCTCAAACAACGCACTCACTGTTTTGCAAGACTGCAGAAATTAATCTCATGGGACAAGAATAGAGAGTTTGTGGATAGAAGGAGACTGAGGAGGATGGCTGTGGAGACTTACAGAAAGAGAAAGGACTTGCTTTCATAGTTAGAGATCTGTGTTAGCAACAGCCTTGTGGGAGAAAGCCATGAAGCCTGATTCTCTTAAATACAAGGACAGGTGCCCGAGTCTCAGAGGCAGGGCAGAGCTTCAGATAGTTAAGCAAAATTAGGAGAAATGGCCTGACCTTGAATATCGCTGACCCAACCCAACAGATGTTACCATCTGGGGTATCATGTTACTGGATTCAGCATAATTGTTGGTAAATACTACGATGTCAGTATGAACTTATTAAAGAATGTCAACCCTACACAAAGTAGGCTGAGTTGAATGGATGGATACAGCATCCAGAGTGATGGTAGCAAGAAATTTGAACATTTATGAGCTCATAATCAAGAATCCTGAACATGAGAAGAAAAAAAAAATCATTAAAAAGGTGTATCAGTTCAACAAATGAATTTTGACTTGAAGAAACAGGTAGTAAGAAAAACATCAGATATAGTAAGTGCCACAAGATACATAAGAGAATACCAAGCACACTACAAAGAATCAGTTTCACACACAGGAAACTGATGTACTGGTGAGGTCAGCAAGTGGACAAGCTAGACACTGACAGCCCTGCTGCCAACATGGTCTAGCATGGAAGGAAGCCACACAGCCTCCCACATGGGTCACATACTGCTGGCACCCACCTACTACTGCCTTCCATGCCTTGGTGTTACTTTTCATAAATTTATTAAAAATATTAACTCTTTTCTGTTCTCAGTACTATTCGGTTATCCTGCAAAGGGAATTTTTGCTGAAGAGGTAAAATCTGGGAATCCTGGCATTAAAGAGCTCATTTGCCCACGTCTGCCTTGAACAGATAAGTTAGACTTGTGTCCAAAGGGAAGGGTCATTATTTATTCACAGGTTGCTCAAGCTTCTTCCTAAATTGTTCAGCACTAGGTTTGCACAGCTTTGCATTTTTGCACATGGAAATTAGTTTATCCTACCAGATTATAAGCCCTCTCGCAGGGTGTTGATTCCAGATAACCTGCACTGAAATCCTGTCAAGGGCATTAGCCTTAGATTCCCTACTGATAGAACAGCAACGAGAACTGCATATTGTGACGGCTGTTGTAAAGGTTTAATCAATGAATACAACACTGGGTTAGAGCACATCCAGCACACGGTAATGTTGCTGTTATTATTTGATGACTGGAAGACTTCCCTTTATTAGTGATTTAAATCACTTCTTCCACAGTTCTAAGACACGTAAAAAGCTCAACAAATCCTTTTTTAGTGTTTAGTACAAAAAGCACGTTGCCACCACTGAGGACTTCTATCTTAAGGCACAGAAAATGTCCTAAATATTGGTGTCAAGATATTTTACATTTAATCTCTTCCACATTATTACCTGAAGATTGATCCAGGACTTGGAAAATCCCATGTCAAGGACTCTACCATTAAAAGTAAAAAAGCAGTAAAGATTCTACCCCCCAAAAAACTTGCTGTCTAATCCATAAGGAATACAATCACAGAACAATGTAAAGAAAACCAATCCATCTAAAAGCAACACAGTCATTTTGGGAGAAAATGAAAAAACCCTTATTTTAACAGCCTATGTTAAGGCCAGTCCTTTTTGTCTGTGAGACAAGGCCTGTTACGTAGTTAAGGCTAGACTTGACCTTACTGTGTAGCCCAGTTGGCCTCAAACTTGTGGAGTTCCTCTGCTTCAGGCTTTATAAATTCTAGGAATACAGGTATGCACTACCACGCTCAGCTGTGTTCTACCCTTTTCCAATATTCGGACAGTTACTGAAAATGTCAGTGCTGGTCAGAACTGAAAAGCTTTGTCAGGTTTACAGCAAGGCGGTAAATAGTTACTATATATTGCCACAGAAGTAAGAATTTTAAATAAGCAAATTTCACGTGAAACTTTATAAAAGCAGAGGATGGGTTGGTTTTAGAGATGTCTTTCAAGATCCCAGCTTCCAAATCATCTAACAGTACAAGATAGAGACCTTCCAGGATATAGCCACCGATCCAGTTCCAAAACCACCAGAACTTTTCAAATCCAGATAGGGACAATTTTCTGTGGAAATTCAAAGGACAGGAATATCTAAATATTCCTCCCAACAGAGATGGCATCAGAGGCATCTGTTCCTCGCCTGGTTTCCTAGGCAATCAGAAGTGGGAGGAGAACCATGCTGTGATGCTGATGTGAGATAACACATTTGCGACCTGAATGGCAAACTGTGTGGCATGGTTCAAATGTACCCGCCAACCCTCTTCTCCCTTCTGTGATCACCACTCCCATTCCATCTAGGAGACAGCTGCTAATTCTGAAAAGAAATTCTATCACTCTGAGATTCTCTCATCTTTGACAAGAAACCCTCATGTGCTTAAGAAATGCAGTATGGGGAAGTATTAGACGACCAGTGCTTAAGGAGCAGGGGCCATGCATTTTGTGAGACCCTGAAGAGTCTTCTCTTTGCCCCCTGTCTATTGGGTTGGTCTTTCCCAAAGAGCCTCTAAAACCCACAGTGTCCTCTCTTACCAACACCACTGAAGATTTAGAACATAGGAGCAAGGATAAACTAATGGCAGGAGTCACACATCACAGTGTAACTGTTCTATGTCGAGACAGACCAGGACTCTTGAAGACAGAGCTGGGTCTCCTCCACAAAGGATGATAAAATTCAGCATTCCATTAGCAGTGCTGGTTAGAAATAATTCTTACCAGAGGCCACAGAAGAGGGAGGATCTGCTCACCTCTGTTAGTGTTTTCTTTGTTTCATTATATCTGGCTTGGAGGTTGGTATGGTTTGCTTGCAGCTGTAAATAAAAGATAAAGACATTAGCTCTTATTTGATCCTTAGAAAAATTCAGGTGTGGACAGTATTCCCATTTCACAGATGAGAAAATGGAAGCTCAAAAAGATTTAAATCAAGCAAATATTGTAATTTTAGAAGAGTTGTCAATAACACATTAAAACATAATTTACCTCTTATTTAAGCAGCACCAACTGTATGTCAGGCCATTTACAAGGATTCTATACAAATCCTGTCACTGAATCATTACATTCAATAAGAAAAGACATTGTTCTTATTTTAGAGTAAATAAATAAAGACAAAAGTGTTAAGTTACTGGACTACAGTCTCACAGCTGACAACTGATAAAAGCAAAGTTCAAATTCAAATCTACCTGACCTTCCTGTGGCTGTAATCAATTTCATTAACCAACTTGCCTGTTCAGAGTACAAACTGTATCCCAAAATTCGAGATTCTAGTATAGAGTATGTATGACTTGTTGGCAAACAATGCCAAATGTGAGAAAGGCTTTGGAACTTCAGCACTCAGAAATAAAATTAATTTCCTTTACTGTTCCAAGTATACAACTGTAATCTTATATCTCTAAAATGTCAATCTTTTCTGTTTCCTCATCCCATTGCTCATGTTACACGGCTGGGGACTGATTACATGTTGGCCTTGTCTTTTCTTTTCTAACCCTCTCTTCTCCCCTCCTTTCCTCTCCCCTCCCCTCCTTTCCTCTCCCCTCCCCTCATCTCCTCTCCTCTCCTTTTCTCTCTGTCTCTGTCTGTCTCTCTGGTTCTAAGGAATGAACCTGAGGCTTTCACACTCAGTGATATCTCCAGCCCATTTTTTCACTCTGAGACAGGGTCTTGCTGCTTACTCAACTTTAATATAAACGCTAACCACAGGAAGAGTAACCATTGTCCTTTACTGAGACACTATTTGAAAGGCAGTATGCCTAAAAAATATCAGATTCTTAGTAAACAAGGTTATAAACCAACTGCAAATCTGACCCAAAAGTCAGGAGGATGCCTCCCACCCACCCAAATGGATTGAATCTGTGCCAGAACTGCCATTTAGAATGAAGCTCAACAATGCTTCTCAAATTCAGATGGGGCAGAATAAACACCCACTTGTGCTGAGATGCTCTGGCCCTGGCACCTGCACACTTGGAACTCCCCTCTCTCAAGGGATAAAGACACTGTGATCAAGAAGCCTCACTCTTCTCTCCCTGCTCATTTTGATTCTGTGATGAGTTCCTTTTGAACCAACCATTCCCATGTTATTATCACTGGCCACGATCAGGAGGAGGATGATATCTCTGAGCTAAGAACTCATTACGATGCTTAAATAAACTATTGAACAAAAACCAAATCACAGTTGATCTATGCATCTATCTTTGCTTATGACGCAGAGCCTCTGGATAAAACGAACCTATTGTTTACATAGTTGAGATACAATAAATTCTAACAGAAAAAATTCAAACAAAGAAAGGATTGGGCAAAATCACTTAATATGTTAATATCTTTTGAATATGTGAGAATTGCAAGAATGAAAAATTCACAAGCTCAAAATGCCAACTGGTATTCATTTCTGAAAAACCAATTGTTGAAGCAACTTCCTATGAACTGTTCTACAGAAAATCATATTAATTCCTATAATCTTCTGCTACATGTAATTGTTTAATTAAATATTGTTGCCCATGTAACTGAAGCATATAATGACTTTTTTATCATGCAATGACTGATCCTGAGTCAAACTCTCCAGTTTTCTCTACTTTCCAAGGCAAACCTAAGAAGATTTTTCAGAACAATCTCATCTATTATCTAGTATTACAGAATGTCATCTCCAGCAGCTCTCTTAAAAACAATCGTTTCTTCCACTTCTCCTGTCATCAACTGCTCATGTGAACTGTTGCATTAATCTCCTTACAGCTGGTGCTCTCTAAAACCCTTCTTTCTCACCCAATCCAATTAATTCATGTTCACATAGCAAATAGAATGGTCTTTGCAGCATGCAAATTGGATTATGTCACTCACCTACTTCAACACTTAAGTGTTTGTCCTTAATCCGACTCTACTGACCAACTGCTCACTTTTGTGACCTCTGACCATAGAACAGAAACTGATCAAGACTCTTCCTCTCCATGTTACCTCCACATTTCCTATGCAGACTTCTTGCCTAGTCAGCATCCACTCACCTTTCTAGACTCTGTTCTCTGTGACACGAAGTTAGATTAGGTCCTCCTATCACTCTCTCAGGGCCCTAGACTTCTTCAAGTACCCACTACAGCTATAAATAAATGTGATGGGCACAATGCATATTTTGTTAAGGGTATGTCTCCAATAAGGCTTTAGGATCTTCAGGAGAAGATACCATAATGTATTCGTCACTCATCCCCAAGGCTTGGTTCAGTGCTTAGCATAAAATAGTGCACAATAATTATTTGTGAAGCACATGGGAAACATATGCAAAGACCGTGCTTCCCATGAGAAACTTTTCCTATACATGGGCAGAATGTACTTATTCTAGGCTTTACAGGTCACTTGGTCTCTACTGCAACTACTCAACTCTTCCACTGCACCCTGAAAGCAGCCAAAGAAAATATGTAAGGAAACTAGTGTTCCTATGTTCTAATAAGCTTTATTTGAAAAACCAGGCTTAGCTGGGTTGGGCTAAGGTCTACATATGCTAACTCCTATTCTGAAATCTCCTCTGATCAATCTATCAGGAAGATCTTCATGTTTTTCTCCAATTTCTCCCCTCTTGAAGAATGATTTCACTGATGTGACTGAAATTACACAAAGAAAACAATAACCTCTTCCAGATGTTTGGTCTTCTGTAGAATCTGCTTGTTCAAGGAAATAATTTTCCGACGATGTAGCTGGGAGGTTCCTAATTTTTCTGGACTTTCTTCAGCTGACAGCTCAGACTGCTGTGGGAAAGGAATGGAGGAAAGTCAAAGCATTTAATTAGTTCATGTCAGTTCAGATGACCTATCCCTGCTCAGTCTGGGCAAAGCATGCCTAGGCCACCAATGCATATTTTGTTAAGGGTATGTCTCTAATAAGGCTTTAGGATCTTCAGGAGAAGGTACCATAATGTATTCATCACTCATGCCCCAAGGGCAACTACATTATCCTCTACAACTCCATTCCAGGGAATATTCTGCCATGATGACCAAAAGCTCCATCAATAGAATCTGCATTCCTGTCAGAGAGAAAAGCATCGGCAGAAGCCAAGGGCCACATAATTGTGGTTATGTTGACGATACATAAACAACAGGACACTCCAAGAATATTCAGTAAGGGAATAACATAGTTATTGTAATATCTTCATAGGACTATTCTGCAGTCATCAAGAATGATGACTTTGGTCAAAGTATTACAAACATACGGGCAAAAAGTCTAACCATTTAGAAGTACTTATAATGAAAAGCAGGTCTTCCAAGTCATTTCTCTCATCCATAGGTTCACTCTAAGTTTTTTTTACTTGTGGTCTTCTAATGAAAACAGAGGATAGGTTTAAAAAGGATAAAAGTTGCTGAAAGGCCAAGGAGGACACTTCTCAAAACATGTGAGGAGGGGACACAAAGGACTGAAAACTCAGAGACTGTAGAACTGGAAATGTGTAAAAGAGATCTCTGGATTGGTCATGAGGCAAATGTGGCACTGTTATAGGACAGGGAATGTTCATTATTGAGAAACCTGCCAAAGGAGGAAGCAGCTTGGCAGTAACCTCAAAGCCCTTGTGAGAAACTCCAGGAAAAGAAAACATAAAAATCTATTTTGTTGCTACAGCTTTTCCTAAAATACTTTTTGGATCACTAAAGACAGCTTTAGCAGTCAAATATTTCATAATGCCGTATTTCCCCTTTTTACTCAAAGCACCTGATTCTAAGCTAATTCCTGATTTTAAGTCCAAGGGCAGCAAGCTATTCAGATACTTGAATTTCCTTGTGTATTTTAACAGTAATGACAGTATTTAAAGTTTGAAAAATGTACCCCTTGGGAAAAGATGGGAAGTTAGGAAGAAGAGAAACTGTATACTTCTAACTACTACTTCTTATGAGTATGGATTTTTCTGAATAATTCAGCAGCATTAATTCAGCTTCTTTGCTGCTTAAAAGCTTTAGAAGCAGCAAATAACCAGCAGGGTACTGGCTGCACAGAACAGTAAGAAATGTAATTTTCTACCTTGTATGCAAACAGTCCATGGGAGAAACAGACAACCTAAACATTTGGTAACAACATTTCTAGCTCTGAAACCTCAGACTTTAGAAAATGTCAACTAACATTTTAACTTTAAAATTAATTTTGGACACACTGAGATATTCATAACTTGTCATCTGGAAAAGGAGAAATTTTCTGAAATTTGAGAGCATCAGAAAATGGAGAGGCAGAAAGACCATCCACTCCCTATTTCCAAATTACTTACCAGAAACAGAACTATAGTTAACTGTTTCTTCTCTATTTGACCTGACTGCTCTTTTGCATTTAATAGCTTTTATCTTATCGTTAACAGTAGTGCTGGGCTTTAACACCCAACTAAGATTCCCCTGATACTGACTTTCAAAGTGTCAGTGGTGTATCCCAAGAGTATTTTACTTTATAAGCAGAGTTGAAGAAGTCTTCTATTTTGTTTGAAATAATTAATTCCCCATTTGCTGGAACTACCACACCTGACATGTCTCTATACATGACGTAAGAGTTACTCTTACATGTCCTGACCTCTTCTAGCTGCCCACATGGCTTCCAGACTGAGATGACGGAAGGCAGACGCCAATGGAACCAAGTGTTACTCACTTCCAGATTGCAGAGGCTGATAATCTACCACTTGACTCTATTCTGTGGCTTTGGTGGGGGACAATGTCTTTGATTATTAGTTGAATTTCCTGCTGATCAACTGCTTTTATAGACAAAGTACGAAGAGAATAAAAACTTCATTTTCCACTCAGCTTCTGTTTCCTCTAATTAGTAAATTTGGCATGCATATAGCTTTAAAAATGTTTTAAATTGTGATTTCAAACTTCAATCATAAGAACCCTTCCTGCAGGAAAACCAGTAGCTATCTTAATATCTGGAAAAAAAATTTCCAGGGTCTCTGTAAGATCAACGTTCTTTCCATAATAATACTAAGATTTTGTTTTCATTCTAATTTTGTCATGATGGTAGAGTGAAATTTTCTAGATATTACATGGTATGTGTCATCATTGCTTTGATGTTAGAATACAACACATTTATTATTGTTTGTAAACCAATTAATACATAAGCTATTGGGGTTGGTAATTTTTAGGCATCCTTAAAAGGTCCTGAAACTGAAAGTATTGAGATCCACTACTTTGATCTAAGAGGGCTGGTTCACTCAGGAATCTTCCACTGGCTGAAATTCATGAATGTACTCATTGATTGGGACAGTCAATAGAGTGGACTAAGAGGTAAGTGGGTATAACATTAAAAAAGGAAAGGTCTCACTATGGTAACTACTATTAAGTCGGGTTATTTGGTGGTGAAGCACTAGGTTGCTGAAAGTGTCATGCTTTAACCTGTATTCTTATGTTGTTATGCCCCCTTTTATCTCAACCTCTCCCTTATTCATTAAAAAATTACTTAATTTTTTAAATTTCTTTTTTAAACTAAGGGGAAAAAAAAACTAGCAGGATATATTATAGTAACTTTTTTGGTTTCCTATTAACTTGAAGTCCTGTAAAACCCCCGTTATCTTGTTTTGACTGATTAGACTCTATTCTGCTTTGTATGAAAGTATCAAGTATCAGAGTATAGGCAACTACTTTGAAGGCAATAAGATTCACTATGATGCCTAATCTGGTTTGACTATTATCCTCTTTTGAGGTTCTGTAAGATTTACAATGTTTAGGTTTTATTGGTCTTGTTCTCTACTGTTTTGTTTAACTTTATAATACCTAATGAGATAGACAATTCTTCTTAAGGAAGCAAGAGGCATTATGGTAACCATTGTTGATAACCTTGTACTCTGTTTTTACATCAGGTGCTATGTCTATCCTTGGTTTTGACTGACAGCTTTGTTTTATCATACTTGATTTTATTCTCTTACAAAAAAAAAGTAATAAGATCTAAGGGAACAATAAAACCCAAAATATGTAAATTTTGTTGTAATAAAGAGAGAGAAAGAAAAGTGCCCTGAAGGATACAACAACAAGGGTGTTTAGGTGCGTTACATAGAAGACCATATTAATATTTTTGATTGGATTACTGAACACAACTGTTTGCAGTCTCACTGTTTGAATATTCGCTTTGTGTGCTTTGATCCTGTGACCTGAAACACCGTTTCTAAAGATGATAGCGAGTAATCTATTGACTGGTGACAGCTTACTGTTTTTTTTTTTTTTTTTTTTTTTTTTTAGTTCTGAATTACTTTTACCCTTACACTGTTTTGTTTTGGTTCTGCTTTTTTTCTCTTTTTCCTTTTAAATAAAAAAAAATAAAAAAATAAAAAAGGAAAGGTCTCTCTAACTCTATCTTATTGCAGGATAGATTAGTCACAGAACAATATAAACAGAGAAAACCACTTCCAGTGCATAAGAAATTCCTGAAGTCTGTATTCAAAGTCTATCTCTACTACGACAGTACATATTCCATGAACACAAACAGGGGCTTTCAAAATATTTTATCTTAGTGCTAAGTGACAATTCTCATTCTCTGTGAGGACTCTTAAATTTGCATTTACAAAAGTATCAATGTACGTTAATATTAGCATATTAAGTATCATTTCTAAATTTTACTTTTCTCTAGTCCAGATGCCCAAAAGGCACAAGTACAGGCCCATCATACATGGGAGTTTCTGAGTTTCTCCACTTGCCTTTCAGTCTTGTCTATTTAGAAGTTCTGGGATAATTTATCACCGAGGTGCAATGAAGAAACTTTTAACCCAGATAGTGAAAACTGACTTCTAAATTTTTTGTTTCTTTCCATTGAAGAAAGAAACTGGCCCTCATATTGGTAGGGCTCCCACAACAGTGTATTCACTAGTATTACAACAGAAAAGAAAGCTAAAGATGATCGAGTTGAATCTTGAACAATGACATGAATTGGACAAATGGAGGAGAAGAAGGAGTTTTATATTAAATCCTTGATGGAAAAAAATTAAATACTGGGGCATCTCAAGTGGTTTCATCTTAAAAAATGCAACATCTGTCAAAGGATGCCAACCATCTACAAATAAACCCTTTGTGTTTATACTGGAGTAAAGGCTCAAGTGCCAACCTAATTTTGTCCAACAGTTTCAGATTTAGTACATGATTTCAAAACCACAGTGTGGATTAAGACAACTTCTGGTACAGATACATTTAATAGTCGGCAGATACTTGAAACTTCTATTCTTAGAGGAAATGTATTTAAATATCACTCAATATTAGTCTAGGTCAAAATGATAAATACTCAAGAGAAACAAAAACGATTACCCAAAATTATATATCTTCATAAATGAAAGGGACACTAAAGGTTACCTACATATTAACCCTCTACTGTTTTGGGGATAGTACTGTGACTGAACCAAAGGCCTTTGCGTGCTACACAAGTGTTCCACATAAATTACACATCCCTAGCTGACATGGAGCTCTCTCCTCTATTACCCCCACCATCAAAATAAGGTCACTAAGTTGTCAAAAGAAACCATATGTTAAAAGGTTGCAAAAATTCTCTACAATGATCAGAGGGACTTCAGTACCCTGACCTGCCTATCAACTGAAAACAGGTACACAAAATCCTAATTTTTAAATATTTTAAAAAAATTTATAAGCTAGCAAGAATATAAAGAAATTCAGGAAATCCAAAAAAGAAATGAAAGTGAGAATTCAGGAAGTCATGTGTATTTAGTGAAGTTGGCTTTTTTCCCTGAGAGTTCTTGTTAAAACTCAGTCAGCATCTGAGTTGTTGCTGAATTATACGATGTGCA